AAGGTCTAGTGAGGAATACGTCCTTTCCGAGGCCGCTGAAAGCACCATGAGTCTGTCTTTAGCCAGTGCGAGGTGTGCTCGCGCTCTGCACCCTACCGGAAACCAGCTACGCTGTGCGTCCACCTTAGAAATATTTCGTGGAACTGGCGATACAATCAACCGTGGGAGAGAAAGAGTAGAAGTGCAAGTTGTTAGGTTTCAGCCAGAGTCATTCAGCCCGGTTTACATCGATATCAGGAGACACTTCCCTCCTGAAGGCAGTGAATTCGGGAGTGAGTTCGTACGATCGAAGAAAGGAATATGCCTGAGTGTGACTCAGTTCAAGAGCTTTGTTGATGCCATTCCTCAAATCCAACAGATGATCAAAGACGCTCAATAAATCAGTATCTGGCAAGGTGTCGAATACAAGAGATGAAGTAGGGGATGTATCTGGCAGCCGTGCCCTGAATACGTCTTGAGTGCATACTAGGCAAGTCTACTATAGCGCCTCCACAGTCGCGAATACTCAGTAACCAGATAACTGCACGGGTGCAGTGTGTGTGAGATCCACTGATCTCCTCACACATAGCACACACATACACACACACGCGGACACACAGATGGAGGCAATGTAATGACGGTTTATCCATAGGTGTGCGCTCATCCGTGTGTGTGTGTGTGTGTGTACGTACGTGTGTGTATGTGTGTGTGTGTGTGTGCGTGTGCGTGTGTGTCATGACTGCGCAGTCATGAACTTACTATTTCCCACTTTTCCCACGTCGTGCATTATTGTACACATTTCGCGTATGCATGCTTTGACCCCTACTATCTCTTACACTTAGTTACAGCCATATCTGTTGTAAGTTCAAACGGGAGTTCAAACTCTCGCTCCTTTTGGACGCCTTACGTCATAATCGTTTACCGTGTTTTTAGAGCGGAGAACAGTTTTTCTTCTTGGTCTAGTTTTCTGGTTTTTTGGTATGGAAGTTGTGTCTGGTTAGACCTTCTTCTCGTTACAGTGTTTTCGATAATAGCACTTGATATGATGAGTTTTTGATGTTCTCACGACGGAGACGAGGGACTGTGATCACAGCCACCGTTGAACTGCCCTGGAGTGCAGCAGTAATAGTATTTTAGACCCCCTTATTTTCCCTCGTTTATGTCCGTTCGTGACATGGTGCTGTGACCAGGATAGGATATGATGTCAAGTGAAGACTCTAATCGTACTAGTGAAGCCACTGAAGGTTGTGCTACAGCCACAACATGTCAGGAAGATGACTCCCAGAAGAAAGGCCTGCAGGCCATCAAGGACGCGCAGAAGCGTCGACGCCGGTGCATGCGAAGATACGAGCGCATCAGGGCATGTACTGCGTACATTTTGGAAAAAACAACAGAAAGCTATGTGGAAGTATGGATCGATCCAAAGAGGCTTCAGCCCCAGATTGACGATGCTGTACAGTTGAAACGAGAAATACTACTCACCCAGGATGAGATTTTCAATGTTCTGGACGACTTAGAAAGATGTAGTGTACACGACGAAGAAGAGGAGTGGGAGCGTGAATTTAATGTGTCTTGGCGCATTTTGAAGATGCCCAGATAGCTGTCGACCAAGTCGTATTTGAAGAGGAGAAAGTGAAGCGTCAGTCCCAATCCGCCATTCTGGCTGCTCAGCAACAGCAGCAGAAAGCCTCAGTGACTTCAGTGGATGCCACCACCAATAGTGCCAGTGCCACTGAGGACATACCAGTAGTTGACGAGGACCGGGCGCATCAACAAACAGCAGTGCAGCTGGAAGAAGATTCTAGAGACCAGAACGAGTCTCCGGCTATGAGCAGTGTAGATGGCATCCGACGAGCATCGTCAAGTGTCAGTATACACAGTGCACCAACAACGCTGTCCACCATTGAGGTGGCGGCACAGGCAGCAGTAGCAGCCATGCAAGCTGCACGCTCCAGTCCAGTTGTGAAACTTCCTCAGCTGAAACTGTCTCAGTTCAATGGAGACATCATGGACTGGCCAGAATTCTGGCAGACATTTGAGTCCTCTGTTGGTCTTCGTCAATCGTTGCCGGACGTATCAAAATTCACGTACCTCAAAAGCGTCCTGACGGGTGTCGCCGCAGCAGCCATCGAAGGCATTCCAATAACAGCAGCTAACTATCCTATCGCAGTTACGATGCTGAAGGACAAATTTGGACAGCCTGAGCTGATAGTGGCAACACTGTATCGTAAACTGGCACAGCTGCCACAATGTAACAACAGGTTTACTGAAGTGAAGGCTACCATTGACCAAATGGAGAAACTCCTTCGTCAATTGGAAGCTCAGGGAGAGAACCTGGATACTCAGCGCGTCCTCATTCAGCAACTCTTCTCGAAGTTCCCGTTCCAGCTCATCAGCAAACTGGAGGAGCAGAGATCCGACCATACTGTGCCATGGACGGTCAAAACAGTACGGGAGATGCTAGCGAAGTATGTAGCAATGCAGAACACAGTTCGTCAGTTCACCGACAACATCAGCCAGACACCTCAGCCTAAGATACATGGACACCAGCAACAACACCATCGTCCACCAACAATGGGATTTGTATCCAGCCAGGCAAGCCCCAGAAGAGAACCGTCCTGCGTCTTCTGTCGGTCAAGCCATTTCAGTGATGAGTGTACCAACTACTCAACACTGGATTCCAGGAAGGATCAACTGTTGTCCCTACGTAGGTGCTTTGTGTGCCTCAAAGAAGGCCATATCGCAAGGAATTGTGCACACCGTAGTAGAAATTGCTACCACTGTAGCGGAACAGGCCACAGTCGTGCTATTTGTCCCAAGAAGGGTCAACAATATAATCCCGCAGTCGAAGTTCCGAAACACCAGCAAACAAATTCACTGGCCAATGGCAGTCCACAGACAGCAGCAATCGCAGCTTTGTCACCGGCAGAGATGCCAAGCCAAGAGCCGACGGCAATTCCAGATGAAACCACGGAACTAGCCACCACGAGCGTCTCAACACTGAAAGCAGTTATTCAGTCAGCCATGCTGCAAACCGCTAAGTGTAACGTGACTGACCATTGTGGGAAGAAGGTCACGGTCAACGCACTACTGGACAGTGGCAGCCAACGATCGTTCATCACTGCAGCTCTAGCTAAACGACTCCAGCTACCAGTCGAGAATGAAGAGAGGCTCTACCTGAACACCATGGCAGCAACTAAGTCCAAGAGCTTCAATTCGCAATCGTTCCAACTCGCTGTCAACCTCCGAGACGGTAACATGGCACAGATAATGGTGAATACTCTGCCTACCATAACCAACCCAATTGTGAAACAAGCCGTGCAACAGACCGACTTGGCGTTTCTTGAACAGCTGTCTCCAACAGCGCTAGCAGATTCTGTGCCTCACGCAATGGAAACTGTCAACATCGACTTTCTAATTGGTGCTGACTACTTTTGGCAACTGGTGGGCAATAATGTTATCACACTGCCATCAGGACTCAAGCTAGTCTCCTCCGAATTTGGATACCTGCTCACCGGCTGCAGTTCACTACCGGATGAATGCAGCAATGATGACACGACCTCCCTGGTGGTTACCAGCAGCGGTTCGATTTTCTCAGGAGCTGCAAGCGTCTCCAACCGTAACACAGAGGACAGTGTACTGTCTCAATTCTGGCAACTGGAGAATATCGGAATCAAGGATTCACCCTACGCGAATGATGACGAAATCGCACTGGCGCAATTTCGCAAGACAACGGAATATTCCGATGGCAGGTATTCCATCCAATGGCCATGGAAGCCTGATGACACCAAAGATCAACTTCCTAGCAACTACGGCTTAGCCCTTGGCCGAATGAAATCACTGGCCAAACGACTCGCTACAGACGGACAGCTGCTCGAGAGTTATGACAAGGTGATCCGACAGCAGCTAGCTAAGGGAATCATTGAAGAAGTTCAACTTTCCGGAACCAGTGGTAAACAACACTATTTGCCACACCACCCCGTTGTGACACCAGCGAAGTCAACAAAGGTCAGGATAGTGTATGATGCATCAGCCAAAGCGAGTGCAACATCTCCAAGCCTGAACGACTGCGTCTACCGTGGCCAGTGCTACTCCCTGACCTCTGCGGCCTGCTAATGCGTTTCCGTCTCAAGCCAATTGTGATTAGCGCTGACGTAGAGAAAGCATTTCTTCAAATTTCTATTCAGCCAAGTGACAGGGACGTCACCCGATTCATCTGGTACAAGGACTGTACCACACCTGAGAAGGTTAACGGCAATGTCACAGCGTACCGTTTCTGTCGAGTGCCGTTCGGTGTAGTCTCGAGCCCATTTCTGCTCGCTGCTACCATTCAGCTGCACCTCACACAGGCCCAGACCGATGTGTCTGGTGCTATTGCACGTGATCTGTATGTGGACAACCTAATAACCACGGTCTACTCCCCAGAAGAAGGTATTCATCTCTACAAGGAAGCCAAGCAGCTGTTCTCAGATGCATCCATGAACCTACGAGACTGGACCTCCAACTCCGACAAAGTGTTGGACAAGATTCAGGAAATCGACCGATTGCCATCAGCATCTACCAAAGTCCTTGGGCTCAAGTGGGATAGCAAAGCAGATAACATCGCCGTGTCCAACAGCATCAATGAGAAATCAGTCGGTCCAGTCACAAAGCGCAGCGTGCTGAACAAAGTGGCAAGCGTGTTTGACCCACTCGGATTGATGACACCATCTACACTGCAAGGGAAGCGGTACCTTCGTCGGCTATGGGAGGAAGGTCTGGAGTGGGATGCCCCATTGTCCGCACCAATGCTCCTGGAGTGGGACAACATCCAATCAGCACTCCGGCAGACGACGACCGTCACCATTCCAAGGTTCATTGGTCCTGCAAGTGCAAGTCAACCGATGAGTCTACATATCTTCACAGATGCATCCAAGGATGCATATGCAGCAGCAGCTTACCTCCAAGTGCAGATTCCGGATTCCAACAAGTACACGGTGAATCTCATCTTCTCCAGATCCCGACTGACCCCGTCAGCCAACAAACCGTCCAAGAAGCAATCAGTCACCATTCCTCGTATGGAACTGCTCGGCGTGGTCATCGGATTCAGGATGGTCAAGTTCATCCAATCCCAGCTTCAACTTCAGAACAACATCCCAACATACCTCTGGACTGATGCCAAGTGTGTTCTCCACTGGCTCACAACGCCCCATCATCTCTCAACATTTGTTGCCAATCGTGTGAAGGAAGTGAAATCCAATCAGCAGCTACAGTTTCGTCACGTTCAGTCCCAGGACAACCCTGCAGACATAGCAACACGCGGTCTTCAGCCAGAGGAGTTGAAGGAGTCTTCTCTCTGGTGGCAGGGTCCTGCATGGCTAGCAGGAGACAAAGAGGACTGGCCAACAGGAAAACTGATCGTCACGCAAGAAGACATTGCAGAAGCAGACAAAGAGAGACGCTCCCCTCTCATTACAATTGGGAACACAGCTGCCGTCATCAACGACAGCACAGAAACGTATTCGCTTCAGGCAGCAGAACAACGTGTTTCATCCCTCAGATCGCTCTTGAGGACTACAGCAATCTGCCTCCGTTTCATTGGCAAAAAGATCTGGAGCAAGGTCAGTAGCAGCACACGAGAGAAGCTACGGCCAAAGATTCCCCTCGCAGCAATGGTCTTTGATGATGCTTCGCGCACCAAGTACGTAGCAGCCAGTGATCTCAGCATCGCAGAGAAGATCATCATCAGACAACACCAACGACAGAACTTCACAGATGCGTTCAAAGCTATAGACAGCGGTACTCGTCACCCCCTTCAAGACCAGCTCGGACTTCGCCTGGATGCTGAAGGACTGCTAAGATGCCATGGAAGGCTAGACAATGCTCAGCTACCTGAAGATGCAACTCGCCCTATGCTGATATCCCGACACAGTAAGCTAAGTACTCTGATCATCCGGAAGTTCATGCGCGTCTCATTCATGCCGGAGTGTCTCACACACTTGCCCAGATTCGACAGAAGTACTGGCTTCCACAAGGGCGGGCAGCTGTGAAAGCCGTTCTGAGTAAATGTCATTTGTCAGAAACACGAAGGGCAACCGTTCCGTCTACCCCAGATGCCACAGCTACCAGCAGAACGAGTACAGCAGTCTCATCCATTTCAGTACATCGGCCTCGACTATCTCGGCCCATTCAGCGTCAACATCAGCAGTACAACACAGAAGGTATGGGTGTGCCTCTTCACCTGTATGGCAACCCGTGCGGTTCATTTGGAAGTAGTGATGGGATTAACAACGGCCCAGTTCGTCAACTGTTTGAAACGATTCATTGCCAGGCGAGGACGACCTGACAAGATCATCTCAGACAATGCGCCACAGTTCAAGCTGGCACAGACGTACCTCGATCAGAAGTGGAAAAAGATCCTAACCTGCCCTGAGCTGGCCTGCTACCTTGCAGAACGAAAGGTAACCTGGGTTTTCACCACTGAGTTTGCACCGTGGCAAGGCGGTTTCTATGAGCGACTAGTTGGTCTGGTGAAGCGAGCTTTCCACAAAGCCATTGGCCGCAGTCGATTCACCTACGAGCAGTTCAACACAATCACAACGGAAGTTGAGGCAATGCTCAACGCACGCCCATTGACGTATGTACCGTCAGAGTCGACAGATGGAATCATCACGCCAAACCACTTCATTGCCCCAACTCGCTCACTGGGACTTCCTGACGATATCCAGTCAGATGACTACATGCCCCAACGAGATCCAGTCGCTACTATTACGTCGCTGCAGAAGAAGCAGCAAGCTGCACTGGACACGTTCTGGAAGTTGTGGAGAGATGACTATATCCTTGCACTTCGCAGCCGACAGCCAATCAACCATCGTCTCAGGAGGAGCCGAACCACTGATCCCAAGATTGGCGACATGGTCATGATCAAGAACGACCAGCTACCACGTGGAATGTGGAAGATGGGAAAAATCAGAGAACTGCATGACAGCGCGCAGGACGGCAAGACTCGTTCGGCGACAGTACAGACGACCAACTCCATCCTGAACCGACCGATCAACCACCTCTACCCGCTAGAAGTGACCGCAATGGAGGAGAAGGAGAACACTGATGTCATCGACAACGGCAGCACTGATGTCATCGACAACGGCAGCACTGATGTTGCTAGCAGCAGGCCTCAGCGCATGGCCGCCCAGAAGGCAAAGGAAAGGCTCAATGCACAAATGCAGGCTGAGCTGGTGTCTGTAGCTTTCACCTTTGTTTCTACGTATGTATGTATGTAGACAGTATCTATTCCATTGTCTTATTCAATGCCACAGTAAAATAGTTTGTTTCTTTTGTTCCTCGGGAGTGTCATGACTGCGCAGTCATGAACTTACTATTTCCCACTTTTCCCACGTCGTGCATTATTGTACACATTTCGCGTATGCATGCTTTGACCCCTACTATCTCTTACACTTAGTTACAGCCATATCTGTTGTAAGTTCAAACGGGAGTTCAAACTCTCGCTCCTTTTGGACGCCTTACGTCATAATCGTTTACCGTGTTTTTAGAGCGGAGAACAGTTTTTCTTCTTGGTCTAGTTTTCTGGTTTTTTGGTATGGAAGTTGTGTCTGGTTAGACCTTCTTCTCGTTACAGTGTTTTCGATAATAGCACTTGATATGATGAGTTTTTGATGTTCTCACGACGGAGACGAGGGACTGTGATCACAGCCACCGTTGAACTGCCCTGGAGTGCAGCAGTAATAGTATTTTAGACCCCCTTATTTTCCCTCGTTTATGTCCGTTCGTGACAGTGTGTGTGTTCATCACGACCTACGCTCCTTGGATGCTCCATGGTTTACTACAGCCCAGGATCGACCATTGTGGAGATCGAGTGTCACGTTGATGTTGTGCTACCATCACCTGATCACCATCGGGGGCTAAGCCAACTGTGCACTGCAGTGTTTGCGACCGCCATCTTAGTGCGTCTGGGGACAAGCGGCATAAGTGCAGTGCGGCCCGTCAACTTCCTGTCAGCCAACAGCCTGGTGCAAAGTAGTGTCAACGTTGTGGTACTTCAAAGTAGATAGTTTAACCCTTTAGGGGTCATAGTACGAATGAATCCGTATGTCACACATGCAGTTCTTTGATCACCAATTATCGCCAATTCTTTGACTTTTTTATTGGATTTTTAGCAATTCAATTCTCCAGACAATTATCTACTCCAAACCCGTGATTTCTAGGTAGGTTGCCAACTAAAAGGTTTGAACTACAGGCACGAAGGAAAAGTTGACGTAACGTTCAACGATCCGAGTATCAATAGGTTTTTTTTTCATTTGACCCGACGAGACCACACGACGCTTGCAGATCACAGCACGAACAGTTCACCAGCCACACTCCACGAAAGCAAGTAGTAGTAGTACTCCTGACAAGTCTTGTTTCGTTCCATAGAGATATAACGGGGAACTCATCAGAGGAGAAGCAGTTGCTGAATGAAGGGGTTTAGCTGAATAATGCTATTAATAGAGAAGATACCGGCGCAAGGTGTAAACACTCAACTAACTCATAATGCAGTGCTGCCAAATATTTTTCGCCCAAAATCGGACACCCTTCACCACCAAGGCTGGCCACATGGTGCGAATTTTTCTCCTCGGCAATTTTTTACAGAGAATTCAAAATATCGCCTAAAACACCATGAAAATTCGCTTCGTTGCCATGGTAACCCCGGAGTTGTCATGAATTTTGTAATGATGAGTACGAGCGTGGTCGCACACTGACTCTGTACAGACTGTCAGCGTACATGCCATCCAGCCTGATCCAGGCATGTTACCAAGAGTCCATAAACAGTTTATGCACTCTTGATGTTACTTTGCACTTCCACAGCCAAGCGCTAGCCTTTTTACTAAATTTTAGAAGCAAATGTACAGTGATTTGTGCCTTCAGTTGCGCTGAAAAGTGAAAGTACAGGACTTCTGCATAGGGAAGTAATGATCTCCGACATTTTGGCTGCTTTTCGGACATTTCCCTTTTCGGACCGGTTTTCGGAAGAGCCTTCAAAAATCGGACGGTTTGGCAGCACTGTATAATATGTGACATATCAACACAAAAGGAATAATGCAGAAAGGAGGTGTTCTGAACCCTACCAGACACAACTATCACAAGTGCTAAATCAATCACAATGAGAAGGAGAGGTACACAGAAATCATGGAAATAGGTTGCGCTAGTTTACACATCACAAAGAGTACTGAGGTGGTGACAAAGATAGGTGAAAAGTAGACGCCAAGTGAAAGCCAACAAATCATCACGAACGTCTAACGTCACATCTGAAGATTGCTAACTGCACAAGACAAATACTTCACAAACCTCGATAATTGAAATTCAGCCAACGGTAGGTGAAAGGAAGGCTGCTGGCCAACAACCAACAAAGAATTATCCGAGTGTGCACTAGCTCATGAGTGCAGGAACACATTGTTTTAGATTTCGATTATTCTGTCCCTCTTTGAAGGGAATCACGATCAACTCTGTCACACCAGATCACATTACCAGAGATTATTGGCAAACTGTTTGGTCCGCTCTGACCTTGGTTTTGGGGTTCCGTCCATTTTGCAAGCATTTCCTACATTTTGGAGCAAGGGCTGGCAACCTCACATTGTCAGATTGAGCTCTGGTTTTCTCTATTGGATTCCTTTTCTGTCCTTGTTCGGAAACATATCATACTAGTAGGTGTCGTGTTAGTAATTGTTAATGGCATCAAGATGATTTTTGGGGAATTGTGTGTTGCTCCCTACATGCGAGCTTGCGGTTTCCTGCCGACTTGAATTCTCACTTGACTGACTCACGACTGCCATCCAGAGCACACGAGAAGTCCATCGAACCGTCCACTCCGCAAACCTGCAAGAAAGCACCACTCCCTGCTCACAGTGTTTCGGGGAATTCACCCCTCATCAGTTGAGCTTGAGTAGGCTGAGGAAGATTGTACCTGAAGAGCACCAATATAGTGCTCTCCAAAGAAGATTTTTACTGTATTAACTTTTCCAGCCAGACCTGTGACGTCACAGAGATAGACTTTGTATGGGAGTAGATGGGGTATTACCATAATACACGGAGTTGTATGTCGGCAAAATCGTTCATTTGCATCGAGCATGCATGTGTGCAGCGTCCACGGACGGTGTCAGGAGCACACAGTCTGTATGAGTGCATGCAGCCAGTCAACTGTGACATTTATCCACACCATGTGCATAAAATATATGTACTGTAAAAGCCGAAATTTTCGGTGGTGTAATATTTTCGGTATTCTCCAAAATCGGCAGTTCGGTGGAGGGTAAAACCCGTTTTCCCGGTAAGTGTACTAGTACTACATGTACATGTATACAGTATCGGTTGTACCGAAATTTTCGGTGCATTTTATTTTCGGTAAAAATTGTCAGCACCGAAGTCACCGAAAATAGAACACCACCGAAAATTTCTGCTTTTACAGTACATGTACATAGCAGTGTACATCGAGTATATCTGCATTGCAATTTGACTGCGAATGCAAGCCTGAGGATCATTGATAGAAAGAACCAAAAAATTGTTCAAGAAAGATTTTTCCCAGCCAACGAAGTTTTTTTTGGGGGGGGGGGGTGTTGAACGAAATTGTTCTTGCAGTTCTACTGGTCACATTATAAATTATAATACTAGCGACACGCTTCAAGTGAAGATGTACACGTGCCCACATTAGATAAACCTTGTATTGTTGAAACGCGCTTTTAGTTTGACAGCTGATCACATATCAGGTGACCGTTTCCTAGGAATGGGCCAATCACTGCCCTTCCTTGGCGGGTGATATACTGTAGGCCGATATCACCCCTGCTGCTCCATATCACACCCGGCTGCGTACCTAGTAAGAATGACAAGGTTAAGGTAGTTCGGGACAGTTTATTTTCATGGTCACTTTTCACCAAAATTTTCTACAGTTAATAATTTGCTCATTTTTGGTGGGCTGACAGAGAAAAGCATTCTGATTCAGAATCTGCAGTAAAATTTGGGGGTCACCATATCCGTTCCTAGTGAAATTGATGCTCAAACATTGGAATTTTGGGCAAAATAGCAACATTTGCGACCTTTGGACCACCAGAAGACTAGTAGAACACCTGGTGACCCCCATTTTTCTATTTCACCAGATGTTTTCTAAAGACTAGTTCTACACACCCACCAAAATGAGCGAATTATTAACTGTAGACAAATTTGGTGAAAAGTGACCATGAAGATATGTGGCAATGGCTGAAACTGTCCCGAACTACCTTAGGCTGCAACCACACTACGTAAAAATCACAGTACAAATTTTCATGCATAGCTCAGTACAAGTCGGTACGCAACCACACTACACTTTTTGGTCTGCATAAAAGTAAAAAAAAAAGTAAATTATCGTATCCGTTCCCGAAGGGAACTCACGACGGCCGCTAACACCCGATAAACCCTAGCGGCAGATGCAGCGCCTAACGGTGGGGGCGAGTGGGTAAGTCTCACAACCACTGGCACAAGTGCCGAAAACGACCCCATTAGCTGCTTGTGCCTGGCCACAAGTTCCCAGTTGACTGGGTAGCAGCACGGCTGGAAAAACCGCTCCCATGGTCTGCATAAATGACGTTTTCACGCAAACAGCACGTGACGTTGTCGTACCAAAGCATGTGCCATGGGCTGGAAAAGACCAGGAAATTCAAAAACAATGCTGATGCTGATGCTATGTACGACGACCAGGTACAAAAACAAAGTTGTACACAGGAGATGGAGCGCGAAAACGACGAAAACGACAAACGTGACTTTCTACAGGGGTGCGCCAGTTGCTGAAAACCTACAAAGCGCATTTTGCATTTCGCACACGTCGGCATGACGATTTCTACTGTAAGGGGCCGTCCGTAAATGTCGATAGTTTTTACAATCCGTGAAATTTTCGTACCTGGGTGGTGGGTGCAGCCGAAATTCAAAGCAAATAAAATATCGATGACACGCGGACCTGGCGCCCAGTACTGCGTGTGCGTGGGTCTGCGTGCGTCAAACCACACGTACACGTAGATTGTTGTCTCCAAAAAATGTAGTGGATATCGAAACTCTTGAAGCAAAAGAAAGAGGGAAGTTTGTCAGATATTATTCACAGGTATAATTATTGCACAATTATTCGAAGTATCACAATATCTGATTAATCCGGGTCAAGTCCAGCTCTTATTTGAACTCCACATCGAAGAATTGCTACATCGCCAATGGTTGGAACAGTTCCCATGTGGAGCGTGGCCTAACGAAAATGGCACGGCAGACTACTTTG